CTCCGTCTCCTCTTTTCTAAGCTGAAAAGTCCCAGTCTCTTTAGCCTCTCTTCATATGGGACCTGTTCCAAACCCCTCATCATTGTAGTTGCCCTCCCCTCTCCCACCCTCTCTCTTCCCCTCTCCCACCTCCTTTTCCCAGTCTCCCCCAGTTTTGTTCAATAAAGAGAGATTCTATTTTTGAACACAATTGTCCTTTATTTTGTACATCAGGAAGGGGGCTAGGGAAGGGTAAGTGGAAGGAGGTGAGGGAGGAATGGGGTACGAGCCCCCAGTGGGAGGACTGGGCTGCTCTGCGGGCTTCTGGGGGTGGAAGCTCTCCTGCAGCCCACCAAATGTCCCATCTCCCCAGATGGCAGCCTGCATCAAGTGCATCCGGTCTAATGGCCGAGTGCTGTGATGTGCCCAGTGTGGGCACTCAGGGCAATCCAAGCCAGGACTGCTTTGCAAGCGGGGCACCCCTGAGAACTGTCTCATCCTGATGCGTAGGTTTTGGAGGCCACTGTACTCAGATTGCCCACAGCTGGAAGATTTTCATAATGGGCAAATGGATGCTAGAAATTTATTCTCTACAGATTTCTGATTGTGTTTCTGTCAATGCCTTCCCAGTTCCTGTTCAGGGACTAATCTCGTGAGGAAAGTCTGTGTCAAGAAGTGGACTCCCTTCTCCAACAGGGAGCCATAGAAAGAGTTCCACATCAACCTCCAGAGCAGGGCTGCCAAAATTTAAGCGTAGACATACCCAAACTTTTTACAAAAAGGTACCAAAACACACACAAACGTACCAAATTTTAAACATCAATATATAAACCCTATAAAACATCTTAAACAGGAAAAAATACATTTAACTTACATTACATCTTACTAAAACATCGAAATGGAGGAAATACATCCAGCTTACCTTATATTTTGTTAAAAGAGAACTTTTTCGTCAGCTGCTTCATTACTATACCATCTTTTTTGTTGCATTCTATCACAAAGCTCTTTTGGTAGATTCCACATCGTGCAGTTAATGTCTTGAAGTAAAGATTTAGATCTTATTAACTCATTTAAGGTGGCCATTTTCAGAGATGCGCGATTTTTAACTTTAATGTTGTTGAGTAAGGAGAAAACTCTTTCAGCAGCTGCTGAAGAGTGAGGCAATGAAAGAAGATTGATCATAAATTTTGACAACAGAGAGAAGTGATATTTGTCACCGCATTTTTCTTGAGATATGTTAAACCAAAATTTTTCAGGCATTTTTTCAGCATTAGGAGGTTGATCTTGCATTGTCAGCTCCCTCCATTCTTTATTTGTTTGTTCATAATGTTCTTCATCGACTAGGTTAGAAAATTTCATAACTAGTGGGATAATTGATTTTGGCCTTCCCTCAATAACATTAGCTGGGTCCAACGACTCAAGAAACTCCAATTTTGCAAACAATTCACAAGATAAAAAGCGCTGAAACATCTGCTTTGTAAGGCAAACATAGAAATTTAAAATTTTTACTCGAAATTCAATTTCGATGTCAATTTTCTCTCATAAGAAGCTGTACACTTTTGTTTCTTTTTCTTAGGAGTTTTATCCTTATCATTTTTATTACTATCTGAATGAATATCCGTATTTTTCTCTTCACTCATAATGTGTTCACAAAAAACAACGTGAAAACACAAAATGTTCACAAAGGACTTGTAAAAGTAAGCAAACAACGCTGAATAACTGGAACACAGCGCTAACTGTGTCACTGCAACTCAAACTGACACCAGGGCGGCAGGGCCAGTGACGCAGCCATGTGAAGCGGAGGAATACATCACATGATTGCATCACATTACATAATACACACAGTCACAGTCTCCTCTCCCCAGTCTTCATTTTCATAATAAACCGAAAAGATATTAATGAACGTGTATCAGATGTAAGAAATGTTAATGTTTTAAAAATGAGCATGGAACATAAAATTATAACTTAGAAGCTTCTGAGCAAAAATTTATAATATTAACACAAAATTCCTAAAACATACCAAAAATATCAGGCGTCGTACCAAACGTACAACGGGAGGTAAATAGTACCAATTTCATACGAACGTACCAACTTTGGCAGCACTGGTGGGCACACAGGATAAAATGGGTGAAGGGACAGAGAGCCGGAGAAGCAGGAGAGAGAAAGAGAGAATAAAGGTACTAGGGAAGCAAGGGCAGGAAGAGAATGGTAGCTGGAGTACAGGGAGGCAGCAAAAATAAAAATTCAAGGAATAGAAAATAAATATTGACTGACTCAAGTTGGGGAAATAACCATAGAAATACTCCAAGGCAAAAAATATCAGCATCGCAGGTTGCCTTTAGACACTGCGACTACAACAACCACAAGGTCTAGTCTCTCTCATCTAGCAGTATTTTACTACTGTTCCCATTGGACATAGACAGTGTTTGTCTTATCTAATCTCTCTCATCTAGCTGTATTTTACTGCTATTCCCATTGGACATAGACAGTGTTTGTCTTGAAAAACCTCTCGAATGTATGCAAGGCATTGTCCAAATTAAATTTGACTAGGATGATAGAATACTGAATGAATGCAGGAGTTTAATGCAGTTGGATGCCTTCTACCAAACATTAATATTGCTGTCTGTTCATTCTGATGTTGTTTTACATTTCGCACAGGTCCCTCACTCTGCATACATGCATGAATGCATAATGCTTAACACAATTTCTTGTAAATTTGTCTCTTGCTTCATTGTTAATTTCCTAGGGAACAAATATGCTATTTCAAAGCATTCATGAATATTATGACTCTGGAGCTGTGCAAAATACATGAATGATAAACAGGAAGTCCTTGAATGGTACTTAATTATGCCAACTGCTTGGGAAAAAAGATGTTTATTTTGTGAGATTAAATAGGTCACTTATTTTTCTCTGCCATTGTTTTTGCATTAAAAACGCACATTGCTGTGTATGTATCAAGAGTGTATCAACATCTTGTTACCATTAGTTTTGTTCTCAGCAGTTTCAGTATTTACAAAACACAGCCAGGGCAGAAACCTTGCACTATCAGCTACCCTAACAGCAGAAGCATTCAGTCATCATGTTCACTAGGATGCTGAGAAATGTTAACAGGCTTTTTTCTAACCATAAAATGCTTTTACTAATGGGGTGGAAACCAGATATTGGGAACTGAATCTCTTGGAATGTTGGGTTTAGATACAGAGATTGGGCCTATCCCAGAAAGAGAGATCCATTTTGGCTTGATTGATCCAAACTTGCTAATGTATGGAAGGTTCAGAAATGGATTGAAACCTTATTCCTTTTTCCCACCTCTAGTCTACCAATAGATGTAGCTAAAGAGACCTAAAACACTATCCTGGTACTATTATCAGGCCCAACAACTTCCTCTGGATGACT